TTCACACAACGCAGTCAACCTGTGGAACTCCTTGCCAGAGGATGTTTTGAAGGCCAAGACTACAACAGGGTTCAAAAAAGAATTAGATAAGTTCATGGAGGATCGGTCCATCAATAGCTATTAGCCAGGATGGGCAGGGATGGTGTCCCTAGCCTCTGTTTGCCAGAAGCTGGGAATGGGCGACAGGGGATGGATCACTTGATGATTCCCTGTTCTGTTCATTCCCTCTGGGGCACCTGGCATTGGCCACTGTTGGAAGACAGGATACTGGGCTAGATGGACTTTTGGTCTGACCCAGTATGGCCGTTCTTATGACCACAACAAGGTTGGGGGTCGAGTCCCCCAGGAATCCTGGGCCCAGCATTGTTGGGGTTACGAGGACTCTGCCGCACAGGACAGTGGAAGGGGAGCCCTTGAGGTCAGGGAGGAAGTGGGAGCGAGGACTCAGATCTTTTCGCTAGCCTGTTTCACTGGGGTACTTTATAAGCCAGAAAAGTTCCCCACAATAGCGGAGCCATTCCCCCACTTACACAAGGGTTACTGTCTCCATATTGCAGTTGGGATACGAAGGGGCTAACATCTATGTGCTTTTTTTATCTATTTGTATTAAGCCATGTCTACCCAAGGAAAAAATACATATTTTTAATGTGTGTTTTAATCTTAGTGTAAACAAGGCCATTTGTATTTTAGGGTGTTAGCAGGTTGGGGTAAGCCCTACGGTTAATCTGGGCCAGCTAATGTGTTAAAACTACACCTGCAGAGTTGGAAATCCAAACATCTGCAGCATCAGACAGGCACAATGGGAAAGTGAAATATACAAGAGACTCTGAAATTGACCAGCCGAGTTTAACTGTCCATCTGAAATACAAAAGAGTAAACAGCATATAGAAGCTTATAAAATCCTTTCCGTTTTTATGAGCAATGCTTGTATTAGGGACAGAGGTAAAATTGCCCAATGATGCGGGCACTAGCCTGGGAGTCGGAAGATTTGGGTTTTAGTCCTGGCTGTACCGCTGACCTGCGAGGTGACCTCGGGCAAGTCACTTCCCTTCTCTGGGTTCTAGGGTTGCCAACTTTCTAATTGCACAAAACGGAACACCTTTGCGCTGCCCCGAGGCCCTGCCCCTTCTCTGAGGCCCCGTCCCCACTCACTCCAGCCCCCCTCCCTCTCGCTTGCTTTCCCCCACCCTCACTCACTTTTACTGGGATGGGGCAGGGGGTTGGGGTGTGGGAGCAGGGTGAAGATTCCAGCTGAGGGTGCGGGCTCTGGGGTGGGACCAGAAATGAGGGGTTTGGAGTGCGGAAGCGAGCTCAGGACTCAGGCAGGAAGTTGGGGTGCGGGTGGGGTTGCAGGTTCCAGCTGGGGGTGTGGGATCTGGGGAGGGGCTGGGGCCAAGGGGTTTGGAGTGTGGGAGGGGACTCAGGGCTGGGGCAGGGGTTTGGAGTGCGGGCATGGGTGCGGGATGCGGGCTCCTGGAGGGAGTGTTGGTGTGGGAGAGTGCTGGGATAGGGGGTTGGGGTGCAGGTGGGGATGTGGGGTCTGGGAGGGAGTTAGAGTGTGGGAGAGGGTTCCAACCTGGGGCGGGGTTGCGTGTCCGGCTGAGCAGCACTTACCTCAGGTGGCCCCCAGTCGGTGGCACAGTGGGGCTAAGGCAGGCTCCCTACCTGTCCTGGCTTGGCGCGGCTCCCAGAAGTGGCCGGCATGTCCTTCCCCTAGGTGGAGGCACAGCCAGGCAGCTCTGTACGATGCACGCTGCCCGCACCCACAGGCCCCACCTCTGCAGCTCTCATTGGCCATGGTTCCCGGCCAATGGGAGCAGGGCCGGCTCCAGGGTTTTGGCCGCCCCAAGCAGCCAAAAAAAAAAAAAGCTGCGATCGTGATTGCAATCTGTGGCGGCAATTCGGCGGGAGGTCTTTCGCTCCCAGCGGGAGTGAGGGACCGTCCGCCTGAATAGCTGGATGTGCCGCCCCTCTCCGGAGTGGCCGCCCCAAGCACCTGCTTGCCAGGCTTGTGCCTGGAGCTGGCCCTGAATGGGAGCTAGTGGAGCTGGGGGCGGGGGCAGCACGTGGCGCTTCCCTGATCGTCCCTGCGCCTAGGGTCTGGACATGCCGGCCGCTTCTGGGAGCTGTGCAGAGCCAAGGAAGGCAGGGAGCCTGCCTTAGCCCCGCTGCGCCACCAACCGGACTTTTAAGGGCCTGGTCAGCGGTGCTGACCGGAGCTACCAGCGTCCCTTTTCGACCGGGCGTTTCGGTCGAAAACTAGATGCCTGGCAACCCTACTGGGTTCCTTAGTTGTATCCTTTGTGAACTTAGACTGTAAGCTCTTTGGGACAGGCAGTGTGCCTTACTATGTGTGTGTGTAGGCACTATGTGAAAGATAATAAGAAATAATAATAATTACACCATATTCATTTGGACTATCTCTTGCACTAAACCAGTGCAGGCTTACCTTCTCCCCTCTCTGGCAGGTTAAATACACTTACAATCAGCGTTATACTGAATATACCTGACATTCTAGGAATAGGTTGAAGCTTGCTTAACAGCTTAAGCAAGATAATTGCATTTGGCAACATATGTTACATAGTCCAGATCTTAGTCAGTTATGCCTGTTCCTTACGTCTTGCTTAATGTCTGTAATTAAAGGCAGTACATTAGCCTTAAGCAGTTTCGATATGTAGAGAACAACGACAGGCCTTATTCTCCAAGATGCAGCAAGATACTGAGAACCCTCAACTCTGGCTTCAGTCATAGTGGGGAGTGCTCAGCGCTTGACAGGATGAGGCCCAGAGTTCCTGAAAACGGGTTCAATTCTGCCCTTGGATACGCATGCCCAACTCCCATTTACTTCATCGTGACTTGCTCTTGCGTATCACAGGGTAGAGTCTGGCCCTAACAAACATGTCCCCAAGGGCACAATATCAGATTAGAGACCGAGATTATCCAAATTTAATCTGGCATTGGCAGCTGACGTTTTGAATACGGAGTCAATGCTCTTGAGAGCAGGGATCTTGTGTGTAAACTCAGGAGTGGATGTCAATGCATTAGCTAATAATAGAAGTTTAAAGCCTATGGCAAGTTTAGGGTCTGGCCCTCTGTAGACACTCTGCACAGACTTTCATTGAAGCCAATGAGAGCTTTGTAAGTGGAGTTCTTGAAGAATTGGCCTTTATTTTGTATGTTCTGTTTCACACAAGCTCTAGTTCAAAGTGCTTTGCGGCGTTAAATAATGTGAAGGACATAGATGAGTCATACACAGAAAACGAAAGGGTTTTGTTTTTTTACCTGGCAAGGAAACAATGTGATTCTGTCACTACCCGTGTACCTGTTGCAGAGAAAGAAGAAATGAGTTGAGAGTCAATAGGAATCAGCAGATCTGGGATCTGTTCCAAAGTCTGCCTCTGATTCACTGTGTGACTTTGAGCAAGGAACGTCGTAATCTCTCCAGGCCTCATTTTCTTCATCTGTAAAATGGGGTTAATATCTAATTCTATAGGGTGTCATGAAACATAATAATCAATGCTGGTAAAGTACTTTGAGATCCTCAGACGCAAGGAACTGAACACAGTAAGTGTTAAAACAACGAAGAGTCCTTGTGGCACCTTAGAGACTAACACGTTTATTTGGGCATAAACTTTTGTGGGCTAGAGCCCACTTCATCAGATGCACGAAGTGAAAAATACAGGAGCAGGTATAAATACATGAAAGGATGGGGGTTGCTTTACCAAGTGTGAGGTCAGTCTAATGAGATAAATCAATTAGCAGCAGGATACCAAGGGAGGAAAAATAACTTTTGAAGTGGTAAGAGATTTTTCCAATACTAATTTCTCCCGATGGTTACTCACACCTTCTTGTCAACTGTCTGTAATGGGCCACTCTCTTACCACAGTTCCCAGTCCGTCAGATCCTGATTGACGAGGGCCTCACGGGCTGTAGGGGAGAGAGACACTATTCAAGCTTCTTGCAACCTGGGCATTATCATTTCCCTGTACTTTGTAGGGCCTCCAGCCATATGTCCTATATTCTGGGTTCTCCAGCGACTGACACTGTCCTTAGGCACAACTGCCTTTTACTGGATGGAATTAGGACTCAGTTCTGAGTCAGAAGCCCTAATCTGCTACCCATTCACGGAGATTCCCCTTTAGCTCCAGTGTACTTTTAAAGCATGCAAGTTTTCTCCTCCCTGTCACTGTGAAATGCCAGGTGGTCACGAGACACAGCATGGGAGCCTCAAATTTGTCACAGCACATTTTGTTGCCCTGATTCACCCATTGGTTCATTTTATCTCTCTGTTACTTGACACCCACGCACAGTGCTTGATCTGTAACACACTGTACTGCTGTGATGACACCAATTGTTGATGGCACAATTGATTCAGAGTTGACTGACAGTGCAGTGGGGCAAAGGTTATGCTAAATACACTCGTCCTGTTTGTTTGTTTGTTTTTTTCTTTCCACGAGAGAGAACTTCCCCCTGGGGAGCATCAAGATCAAGATGTTCTTGTAAGTAAATTTTTACATCAGATCCATAATCGCAGGGTCCCGTGCTACAGCTGATTTCCGCTTGCATAGAGAAATTTTATGTCAAAAATAGGAGAGGATCTCAGGACTGGGAAGCAACTGTTCTGTCTCTCAGAAGCTCTCTAACCTCAGGAAAAGTCAATAACGGACAACTAATGGACCTCTAGCTCAGTGGTTTGAACATTGGCCTGTTAAACCCAGCATTGTGAGTTCAATCCTTGAGGGGACTATTTAGGGATCTGGGGCAAAAATCTGTCTTGGGATTGGTCCTGCTTTGAGCAGGGGGTTGGACTAGATACCTCCTGAGGTCCCTTCCAACCCTGACATTCTATGATCCTACCTGAAAATAGATGTTCAAGATTTCAAGGACCTCTAGTCCACTCCTGCCAGCCAGTGCTGAGTGGTTTCATGTACTGTGCTTTGACCACCCTAATGTTAAATATCTCATGCAATGGAGACAGCTGGTGTTTTAGCCACTGGGTCATCTAAACTTGCTCTGAACAGGGTTATTAATGTGCCAATAGGTTTAAGAAAAGGATGGCCAGTCCCCTCAGCTACTGCTACCAGTGCTGGAGCTAATAGACCTTTGGGGCAGGGGAAAGCCTCCAGAGATCAGTACAAGGTCCTGTTTATGCAGAGATCTCAGCAAAGAATCCCCTTCACATCCATTGCATCTGAGTCCTGTTTCTTCACTACTGTGAGGGACGCTATAGAGATCTAAGAGTGAGCGCCGTCCCCCTTGTATCATCTTCAGCCAAATGAGCTCAGTGGGGCATCCGTGCCAAAGTGTGGCTAGTTCACTGCAGCACTAACCAGGATAACAATGCTCAGCAGTTACGCCATGCTTGGCAAACTGAGCCTCCCAGGTAAGCATTTATGTCATGGTGTCCAGGTTTTGGGACCCTGCAGGGAAGAAACTCTCACGCTTGCAACACCTCAGCTCTGTTTCTCCCAGGAGAAGAAATATCAAGATCTGAGTGGAGGTGCAGCGCTATTCTCCTGGCTCCCCCAGCAGCCAGACCAGGTGGATCTCATTAGTTCCCATGCAACAGAAGTGAAAGGCAGTGAAATTCTCCTCAGGAGAAGCTAGAGCAGGGGTTCTCAAACTGGGGGTCGGGATCCCTCAGGGGGTCGCAAGGTTATTACATGGGGGGGTCGTGAGCTGTCAGCCTCCACCCCAAACCCCGCTTTCCTTCCTGCATTTATAATGATGTTACATATATTTAAAAGTGTTTTTAATTTATAAGGGGGGGTCACACTCAGAGGCTTGCTATGTGAAAGGGGTCACCAGTACAAAAGTTTGAGAACCACTGAGCTAGAGTGTCAGACAGGAAGTCCGGGGAATAACCCACTCGGGAGACAGCTGAGGCCAACCTTGGTCTGTTCTGAAGTTCAGGATTTCATCGGACTCGAGTTGCTGCCTGATGTGAATGAAAGCAGCTGCCAGAATTGTGGAGGTAAGGGGTCGGTAAGAACCTATCCTGTGAAGGCTGTGCTGTTATGTTACTTTACAGTGTTACTTTCCCTTGATGGGGAAAAAGAGAGATTAGTGACTTGCCTAAGGCCAGCCAGTGTGTCAGTGGCAGAGCAGAGATTGTACCTCACTGGTGTTTCCTGGCACTGAGCTCCAGTCACTAGAGTCTCTAATCTGGAAAGTCCCTCCACTGAGAGGAGCCTTCTCTCCCCATAGCAAATCCAGCCCCTAAGGGCTTGCTGCTTGATAAGGGCGTGCCGTGCTTTACACACACAGGAGACTATAAACCATTCAATAACTTTTATTGCTCGGGTAATGGAGAAGTTCTGGGCACCGAGCCCCACGTGCTCAGGGGGCCGTGTGCAGCGCGGAAACGCTGCCACATAGAAGAGAGAGAACCAAAATCGCTAGAGATCCTCTGGGCATTTACAAAGGCCCCGCCCCAAATCCGACAGAACAGCCAGAACGGGCGCTGCTGTCCATTAGCTCCCGGCCCCGGTGGGCTAGCTTCATTGGGGAGGAAAGTGTGTTTAGAGAATCTAGGCAGCAATTTACAATGGAAACCTTTACTCCTGCTCTCCTCTCTAGCATTCCACCCCAACCCACTCACTAATGGGCACAGGCCATAGGAAAGCAACCGACTGGAGACCTGGGACTTTCTCCAGAAATCTGGACTGTCTGATAGTCACTTGGGCTGATGTTTCCTTCTTTGTACTAAATGAATTGTTAGGACTGCTGTAATACTATTTAACCACCATGTAGCACCTTTCACCAGCAACACATATCGCATCACTGAAATGGAAGGGGAATGTGGGATAAGGATACCACGCCTGCATTCACAACAGTGCCTCAAGTTCTTTCACGTCCAGGCAGAATCATGTTATGTTTTAAGAGTCTTATAAAGACACCCACTAAACTAAATGAATCACCTTGGAAAGATGAAGGACTGCATCAGCCTTGCTGAGCTCTGAACCTGCGGCTCAAGGAGAGCTCAGTAGCTCCATGCTGATTTGTAGGTCACTAAGCTGCCCCGTTAAATGGTGGATCTTGAAACTTCTGCAACAAAAAGTGGCCAGCAACTAGGTTTTGAAGCTCTAATTGCCTCTGGAATCCATTGTCTCCAATGTAAAAGCTTCCACGTTTTGTTCCCCTGGTTACATTTGATAAAGTATTAAAATGAGCTTCCTACCCAACACTAAATCGGAATCAACCCGGATACTTACAGTAAGCACTTTGCCAGGCTCAGGGAACGCAAACAGTCCTATACAAGGGGTGACTTTCTGTTTACTGCCGCAGTAACATGCCCAGCACGTACCTCACCTATGGAACCCAACCATCCCCTGGGATTACAGAACCAGCTTTTTGAAAACTAACACTGCTGCTTGAATGTATTCGCCAAGGTGACTGGCACCAAAGCTGGGGCCCGGAGAACTGACACAGGGAACCCGACCGTAACAATGCTTGACCCTTACATAATGATTTCCATTCAGGGATCTCAAAGCACTTTACACCTATTAACACTTCACAACACTCTTGTGCGCTAGGTAAATATTCTTATGCCCACTTCAGAACTGGTGTCTCATCTTATCTAGCTCTACACACACAGGCTAGTCCGTCTCTTCTCACCCCCACCCAGCTGGACTGGCCAATCAATGAAAACTCAGGAGTTCTGCCTTGCAGTGTTCTGCTCTAACCACTAGACTAGTAACCAAGTACACAAGTAACCAGATGGATAGACTGTACTGGTGGTAAGATAACTCTGGTACCATAGTCCATCTGCCCTGTCTGTCCCTCACTGGTCTGTTCCATTAGCATGCGTGGACCCAATGCGTTGAGCTAGCTTATGGTGAGAGGCAGTTTCAGTCTCGCTCTGAACAATTTCAAGGTGTACTGAGTGGAATGAATTCCATTCCCCGTTCCCAAAGTATCTCCTGTTATACTTCAAATGATCGGTGCTGCCTTTAGACATTGATGCTCATCACCTGGGTAGGTCTAGAGGAGGGTAATCAGGGACCCCCTTACCCCAGCATGGTAGGGAGACGAGTTGCAGGTGAGATGTGCACAATGGATTCATGACTAAGGGCTGATGCACTATGTCTCTGAGTGACAGAAGGATGAGTTTATCCCACCTAGATGGAGAATCTGAAAGCGCATAACCAATAGCCCCTTATCCAGAGGGGCAGGCTGGGCTGGTAGAATTAGCTCAGGGCTTCTCACTTTTAGTCCTGACTCATCTGCTGATACACTGAGCAGCCTTGGCTGAGTCACTCTCTCAGTGATACCAACTCCTGTGGGTGATTTTTCACGTTTTACTTAAAATCCCAAGCCCCAGCTCCTGGAGTCAGGTGATCATGGGCGAATCTAGGCTTTCATTTAAAAAAAAAAAGTTTCTAGCCCTCATGGAGCATGCAGGAAAAAAATTGAAAATGTGACCTCTTAAGGCTCAAAAGAGCTGCAGAAGCCAAATGAAAAGCACCTAATTTAAGAAAATCTCATGATTTTTAAGGCAATCTCTTGATTTTTTTTTGTGACGGGGGGTTGATTCATTATGTTTGAATGCTCATTGAGTTGGCAATGCTGCTCTTGGCCTCAATTTCTTTACATGTCACCGAGGGATAAGAAAATTGAGCTACATAGTTACTGTTTTTGAGGACCGTAGAAGATAAAGTACTAAAAGGTACTGGACTGTGAGTCAGGACACCTGGGTTCTATTCCCAGCTCTGACATGCTCTGTGACGTCGGGCAAGTCACTTTACCATTCTGTGCCTCTGTTTCCCCACCCACATCTGTCTGGTCTATGTAGCTCGAAGACTCCTCCCGGCAAAGCCTGTCTCTTGTGTCTGTACAGCGTATAGCATAATGGACCCTGATCTCAGGTGGGGGGTCTTTAAGTGCTATCACAGCACAAATAAATAGCAGTTGCAATACATCTTCTTGCCTGACTTACGCAAAGCTACAGCTAATACGGACCTCCTGGCTGTTCTCACAAGCCTGGTAGTGTGAATCATCAAGTACCTTATTATTAAGGAGTAAAGCAGTTTCTCTTTTAAATATCAGCCGTTAAAGGGCCTCGCTGTTGGTTCTCAGAGGCCATGGACCAAATTCAAAGGCAACGTGAACAGTGGTGTACGTTACACATTGGTAAAGCAGGCGTGAGTCTAAAGTGGTGCAATTTACATGCCAGGGATTTGGGAGGGGTGTGGGTAGCAAGAAAGTGGATGATAAGAAATTTCTCCCCCATGTTCCTGTCTAGACATGCCCAGTGACATGCAAACCCATTTCATTTTACACCTTCCCGCCACCATTTTCCCCGTTCTTCTAGCTCAGTGTGTACGTTACACCATTTACATCCCCTCTGAACTTAAACCCGCCTCTGGGGCAGAGGAGCTCTGGTCCTTGTCTCCAGGGACTGATCTAAGGGTGGGCAAGACTGGTAAATGCTAACTGGCTCCTCCCTGCGTTGGGCTCTTCAGCTGGGCAGTGATAAAGGTTCCTGGCATTCGGTCCCCCAAGTTCTTTTGCTGTGTAAAACTTTTATCTTTTAATGTGCATCTGTGGGCGGCCGGGAGGCAGTGGAATTTGAGCCGGTCGCAATAATGCCGCTTGCCTTCCGATCCCTGCCTCTGCCCAGCAGAGTGACTCATTACTGGGCTTTTTATTTGCCTTTGCAGCTCTATCAGCGAGATAAGGAATGCTAATGCACCCATCAGAACACTGGATTTCCCAATGCCCGCATACCATGGGATTGCTATCTGCCATTCTAGCAGGGCTCCCTGGCGCAGTGAACTGTAGTTGCTTTTAGGCCAGTCTACGCGTATCAGCCCCCTGCATCCTCACGTCCCTGGGAATGACTCTTACTAAGGGTTCAGGTGTTTAAGGGGGATGGCAGAAGGGAGGATCTGGCACTCCTGCCCAACCTGCAGCTGCAGGAGGCCCTGGATTAAGGGGGCCAACCATGCCAGGGACAGGTAGTGATGAGAGTCACACTTCAGCGTAAGCTGTTTCATGCTAACTGTGAGCTCTGTGGGGATAACAGCTTGGGCCCTCTAGGACTTTGGGATGATCTCCTGCTTTCTCCCAGTCCTGCTTGGGATACAGCACAGATTTCCTCCTGCTAATTTTCTCCTAACTCTTTGCATAACTGCAGAGCTCAGCTCTGGAAGTGATCCCTGTTCCCTGATCCTCGTTTCCACCCAGTTGGCATGAGATAAGGCTGAGGTTGATCTTCCCTCAGTCTTTGCTGCCGCTGGAGACCCCAAATTTGCTTGCACCATCCCCGCAGAGCAGCCTGGTACGCAGAGAATGGCTTGCCCAGGGTAGCAGCAGTGGAGATGGGTTTCAATCCAAACACTCTAGATCCTGCTACAGGTGTGAACTTTCAGAGCTGGCTCCCATCTCTTCCAAGCTGGGCTGAAATCCCCCACCCCCCTTTTTTTGGTCATGTGGCTAGCAACGTAGGTGGCAATACAGGTTAAATCCATCACAATGCACAACCAAGTGGTAGCAGATTTACCTCCCGAACAATATAGTTCTAAAAATACAGACAGAAATGAGGAAGTGACTGTCATATCCCATGGATGATCTGATCCCATCCTGCACACGCACCTTTCCACCATCGTGTACGCGGCAGGGTGTGTTTAGAGATTCAGGGAGGGGCAAATCTTAGTCCCACTGAAGTCAACAAGAGCTTCGTTGGGACCAGGATTTATCCCAGAATGGCTACAAACTGGTCTCTCCAGCTCTACTGAGCTGGCTGACGGACCAGCCTCAAGCAAATTCGGAGTGAATTTGTACTGTGCTTTTCAGCCATAGACCTCAGAGCACTTTACAATCGGGGTCAGTAAAAATGGGGAAGCCGAGGCACAAAGAGATGAAGGAACTTGTCCAATGTCACCCGGCAGAGCCAGGAGTTGCACCCTACTCTCTTTCAGTCTCAGTCTGGTGCTCTATCCACTAGGATACACTGCACCCCAAGGCCCCAATCAGGGATTGGGGCCCCCTTGTTCTAGGCACTGAACCCACATAATGAATGTGGAACATTTCATTTAGAAATGATTCTGCTCACATGACACTCCGGTGACGCCTGTAGTATAAACACCTAGCTTGATGGCCCTGGCTGATGTTTTGTGGGTCTTTCCTTTGTTCCTAATTAAGGTGTGGACGGAAACAAGGTCTTTTGGTGGAGAAAAAGGAGACTGACCCTGACGTTATTTTGAAAACTCACATGGCAGAATCATTCCCACAGAAACCAGTCTGAGGCCTAAAGCTTATGACTTCAGGTGAGGTTAAAAAGGAATTGATGATTACAAAGCTCCTTTTTTCGTGGACATGCTAAGGAATGAGGGATGAGAAATACAGCAAATAGGACAAACAGGGGTGTTTATAAAAAGGATTTGGTTCAGTTTTCCAGAAGACATCAGCTGCTTTTTGACACAAGCCAAGCCAATATTGTCCCTTTGCAGTCTGTGCCAGCTATATCGGTTAGATCAGATTTTGTGCCTTATGGAATATGGCAGGGATTTTCAAACTCCTTCCTGAGTGTCAGTCCTTCCTGACTCACACAGCCGACACGGGTGCTTGAAATGCCCAGCCTAAGGCTGGATATTCTTTGAAGGCCCACTCCCCTTCTGTTCCTACTAAGGGCTTGACCTCAAAATCTTGTAGCAGTGAGTTCCACCGGCTAATTATGCGTTGCATGGAAAAAGTATATGCTATTTGTGAAACCATTCATGTTTATTTTTTAGTTTTTTCCCCCTTTACTCAGAATGATGATCCATGCTTACAAATATCACTTTCATCATCAGACTCTGCATCCTCATTAATCCTTTTTTTCAATAGTGGAATGTGGGTGAATACATTGCTTCTGAAAGTGAGGTGCCCAGCACAGAGTAGGCAGGGGATGTATAAGCTTCCCACAAAAAGCTCCACCTATCCTGGCCTGCAAGGGAACAGCTGGCTCTCTCCTGGGAGTTTTTTCAAGCAGAGAATCCCAATGGTATTATGTATGTGATAGTGGCAGAAGGGTTTGGAGAGCTGGAGGTAGGAATTGCTTCACTGCATCTGACTAGTGATCTATCTAGCCCAGCGTCTGGACTCTGATGTGGCCAGCCCCAGATGCTTCAGAGGAAGGCACGCTAGGGTCTGCAGTAGAAAGTCATGGAATAACCTACTCATCGGGAAAGCCTTTTCCTAGCCCACAGTCACTAGAGATTGGCTCATGCATTGAAGCAGGAAGGTTTGGTCCATCCCAAAACATTTGTTTGTTTGTAATCCTTCCTACTGTGACTCTGGGTATTCTTTTGATGCCCGGTCCTCTTCTGACCCTGCTAAGGTCACGACCTCAATGTCTTGTCGCAGTGAGTTCCATGGGTTAATTATGTGTTTGAAAAACGATTTCTTTTTATCTGCTTTAAATTTACCTATTTGATTTACTGTTCATTTATGTAGGAAGCTTTAACAGGTCCACGAATTCTTCCCCAGTAACAAAACAACCATTACAACAGTGAGCTTTTGTTTAAAGAGACATTGTCCAGCAGTATAGTCATCAGATCTCGCTATTGAACAGGGTATTACCACATTACAGGGTGCGTCATTACAACACCCATGACACGTCATTTCTATTGATTTTTCTTAAACTGAGTGAAATCTCCGATTACACATGTTGAACGGATTCAGCGTGTCTATCAAAGGTTAATATTCAAAAAATCGGAAAGGTGCGCAGAGGGCTTTTTGCAGGTGAAAGTATTTTGTCTCAGTATTGAGTAAATGCTAACCAAATACCTACATGTCTATTTTGCTTGGATGTGTAATTGGTAAATTTGCCACTTTTGATTTCACCAAATGTCCCCCTGTTCTTGTGATAGGAGAAAGGGGGAAGAGAAGTGTGTGATCTACTTTTTCCAAACCAACTGCACAATAGTAGAGCGTGTTCTCTCTTGCAGGTGCTTTACAAACATTAGTTAACCCTTCCAATCTCCTCGCTCTGAGGTAGAAACAATTACACCCAGGTTACAGACGGTTAAATTGAAACGTTAACCATGAGATTGAGTGACTTGCCGAAGATGGATGATAGAGCCAGGAAGAGAAGTGAGGAGTCGGAGCCCCAGGCCCATATGCTAAGAGGGATAGCTCAGTGGTTTGAGCATTGGCCTGTTAAACCCAGGGTTGTGAGTTCAATTCTTGAGGGGGCCATTTAGGGATCTGGGGCAAAAATCTGTCTGGGGAGTGGTCCTGCTTTGAGCAGGGGGTTGGACTAGATACCTCCTGAGGTCCCTTCCAACCCTGATGTTCTATGATTGATAAACATCTAGACTACACTATTCCCTGTACCATGCTAAGATTTTTTCTCTGGCTTTCTGTGCTTAGTTGTGAGCTACTTGGAACAGGGATCACACCTTCCAGTATGTCTGCTAAACACTGAGGACTCTGTGGCAAAAAAATAATAATAAATTATAAGATTTATTAATCAACCAGATCTTTTTCACCTGCACTCAGGTCTCCAGAGAAGAAAAGGCCCACGCCCACGTGTTTAACCCATTGTGGAGTGGTGCCCACTCACCCACAGGTATTTCTCCAGATCAATCGTTTAAGTAAACCCAGTCAGACTCTGCTCCTCTCCCCTTCCTTGTGGGTTGCTGCCCCTCTCTGCCTAGGACTGAAGCCTGGTTAGATGAGGAATTGCATGTCTGAACGTTCCGCATATGAGTGCTGGGTGCGTTGATGCCTCATTTGTGAATTCCTTTATTTTGGGCTGGGCTGCGGGGAGAGGAGTTCTTGTTTTCCAAAGCTGTACGTTACATTAAATATTGCGTGTGTGCCCAGAGGTGACATTCGATACATTTAACAATCTGTCATTCTGGCTTATGACTTTCTTGCAGGGGGAGCGGACACATAAAGTGCCAGAGCTGTGGATGCCGGTAAATACCATAGAAATACAGGCTTTGATCGTGCAATTGGATCTGTGTTAGTGGCCCCCTGTGTTTGTGCAGAGCCTGAGCGTCACACCATGCAGGGTTCCATCCAAGCCGATCTGACTGCAGAACAAGGAACACACTGTTAGCCACAGGCACCTGTGTAGAGCAGGAGGGAGTAGGGGGACCAGATGTCCCGATTTTATAGAGACAGTCCCAATAGTTGGGGCTTTTTCATATATAGGCACCTATTACTGCCCCCCTCCTGATTTTTCACACTTGCTATCTGGTCACTCTAGGAGGGAGGTCACCCACTCTCGCAATTTTATCACAAATCTCATGATATTTGGTGTTTTTTCCTAAAGTCCCAGCTCCTGGAAGTGTGAGTACACGAGAATCTCAATTTACAATTAGGAATAAAAAGGGTAAATGTCTAGTACTCTTTGCCAAGAAAACATAGAACATCTCAGCTCAAAAATAGAGCTGGGTGAAGAAAAATCAGCAAATAGTTTATTTTTGCCTAAAGATGCAGTTTCGGGTCAACCCATACTGTTGGTGAATTTGGGTCCAATTTGGTCGATAGTTTTGGCTGAAAAAATGGGGAAAATTTTCAGAAAAAGTAAAGAAGTTTTGTTATAGTCATTTTGGAAACAAAACCTTTCCACTTCTCCTTTGGCAGTGTTGTGTTTCGAAATGTAGTTAGCCTTAACGAAACACACACAAAGGGTAAAACACCTAAAACCCAAATGCAATGTTTCCTTCAACCCAAAATGATTTGTTTGTGTTCTGAATGTTTTGGTTCGACCACTGACTGCCAAAATCAAGGATTCACCCAGCGCTACTCAAAAACCACAAAGCAAATGAAAAAAGCCCCCAATTTATTTAAATCTCATGGCTTTGGGGGCCTGACTTATGATATACAGACATCTGTGCAGATCTGAGAGCAGGGACAGGGTACAGAGCTTATTCTGATGTTAACTACAGACACGCATAGAAATGGGGGGGGGGGGGTGACACTGACTCCAAAGGGTATGTCAAGGCCGCATTGCACACCAGGGCTGTGGGACCCAGGCTTGTGGACTCCGTTTTTCCAAGACTGCAGTTGAGTGTCCACACTGCATCCTAAACCTAGGTTTACAGTTGCTGGTCTCACACGCTCTGGACCCA